CTTAAATTCATATTTTTAATTAATCACATATGGTAACATAATATTGTACATGAAGTTTAAGAAGCATTTTTTTCTTTCTTTTCTTCAATATTACGTCAAATGTTCACTGCGAGATTTACTTCCGGTTCAGTGGCATGGCGTCCAGGATTAGCTGTCATGGTGGAAAAAGGGGCTAGGCACGGCCCGTAGTCGTCAAAATATAGGATTTTTTTTAACTTGATTTAATAGCACAAACATTCCGGATACTGAATTAGTCGCGGAATTTTCCAGACCAAACCCAAATCTATTTGTTTAGGTGGGTCCTCCCAACCAAAAAAAAAAAACAAAAACAAACAAAACAAAAAACAAAGTAAAACAAAACAAAACAAAACACGTTGTCCTCCTGGTTTTTTTTAGTTGAGGATGGGGCATTTTTTGTTTGTTTGTTTGTTTGTTTTTTAATTTTTTTTCCGATAAAAACTTCAGACTCAGGTGGATTAAATACTTAGCACGGTGCACATTATTTTCCTTTAGTTTCATTTACCGTTTCATAAGGGAGACAACTCACACTGAAATAAATTATTATTTCGTAAAAAAAAAAAAAAAATAGAACCCCCCCCCCTCCCCGACATACTCAATTTTCTGACTTGTATTTTTGCTAACAATAGTCCTGATCAATCAACGGTATTGTTAAACCTGTAACATAAAATATATTCTTATTAACAAATGACTCCATCTCTTTTTACCAATCGTTTTTCAAGAACTAAAATTCCATTGAGACTTTGTTTGGCTAATAGTCACTAACATAAAGTTACAAGGTATATCTATTTTACCCATTTCAAAATCCTCCAAATGTTAGACGTCCCAAATGAGGTCTTTTACATGCTAGGCTAAAACTATTTAAAATGAATTAAATAAATTATCGTTTGTCGGTAATGGCTTTAGTTCAGACCACTTGATAATTTTACGAGTAAAGATACAATTTATTCCGTTGAGTTATATTGTTAAGCGCTGTGTTTTAGGAGTTGTGATGTGTCTAAAATAACAGAGAATGAATCCATTAGAGAAAAGGTTTTAAAAGGCCTACATTGTCGTACCAAATAAATATTTATGGCACGCCAAATTCACAAAAATGAGATAATCATAGTTTCACAATCGATAAACTAGGTTTATCGGTTGTAAACTATAGTTTACAAACCGTAAACTATAGTTAACAACGTTAATCTATATTTCACATCTGTAAACCATAGTTAACGCGATAATCTATGTTTCACAACCGTAAACTATACTTTACACTGAAAACAATCATTTGCGATTGCAAAACATAGATTATCTGATAAATACAGTTTCACGATTTGTAAACTATAGTTTACAAACCGTTAACTATAGTTAACGATCTGATAAATATAGTTTCACGATTTGTGAAACTATGATTAACAACTCTTAACTATAGTTTACGATTGTAAACTATAGTTTACAAACGTGAATCTATGTTTATCAACAAAATCTATTGTTAACGCTTATTACAGACAGATAAACTTAGATTATCATTCGTAAACTATAATTAACAACCGTTAAATATAGTTTTACAGATGAAAACGGTTAGTTTACGGTTAGTAACCTATAGTTTACAGTCGATAAACCTAGTTTATCAAATGTGAAACTAGGTTTATCTCATTTTTGTGAATTTGGCGTGCCATAAATATTGGTTCATTTAAAACAACCGTGCATTGATTCACTGGTCCACAAGGACAAGAGGAATGAAGGGATGGATTTTAAATCCATCAAGATGGAAATATTGACAAATCAACAATATATCGTTAACAAATACTTATGTCAGCTGTGCAAGAGAGCATTTATTTAACAAATATTTTTATCTATACAGAGAGATTACTAAACCCTCTCCAAATTTAGTCAGACTTAGCACATCTATAGTAAAGAAACTGAGCTGGTTAAGAGCATTTATTGAACAACAGTAGTCTCGTCATCATATCATCGTCATCAGTCTTTATACTGTACTATGTTTGACCCCCTCCCCCTTAGAAAAGGTTCTGGTCCGCTTCCTGTTTCCCTCTCAGAGATGGTGTCCTCTCATTTAGCCAACATTTTGAACAAAATACAGAAAAATGTTGGCTAGCATTTTTCAAAATGTTGGCTAAGCGTTAGCTAAGTGGGAATAAACCTCGGAGATGGTTTTTTTTGCTTTGTTTTCAGTTCCTTGTCATCATAATTGTATGAGGAAGCACATCCGGATATTAATCCCTTGAAATTACTGAAATTTACATTGTAGATCTGTAGACTCAGAAAAACCGTGTAAATTTTAAATAAATACTATTATATAGCGAGGTGATACTTAAAAATATTTTCAAGTTGTATAAACCAAGTCAGACTAAAATGCTTTGGAAATGATAGATCCAAATTTTACTTGCTGTGGTAAAAATGTAGTAGAAGAGAAGTCTTGTCTTTGTTCTAACAAAATGAAATACATGTATTCAAAAAATTAATTTGGTTATATTATAAGATTTAATGGATTTAAAAGATTTAATTTTGCTTTCCTTCTTATAATTGTACAACTTTGAAAGAAATGATAAACTAAGTTCAAAATCTAGCAGGGACAGACTTTGTTTTTGGCGGAACTGTGGCGTATGAAATTATCTATTTTTCTGCTTGTTAAAATTAATATTGAAATATTTAACAACGAATTCAATTTATTTTATTTCAACACTGGAAGACTAAAAGAAACGCTAATACCTGCTGTGACACAGGTATTCGGTTTATAATGTCTCATCCGAAAGACCCGCAATTTTCACTTCAAGGTGCCGAGCGCTAGGCAAACGAACAGTAACTATACCTTTTTATTTTGTTTTATCAACTTGGTTGAGTCGAGGTTGAACTCTTTGTTTTCCCGAACACGGAATTTTAAGTGCAGATGGTTTTGTACAATAATTTATCAAAACTTCGACAAATTTGACTTCAAATATTTATTATATCATAATATATCATTTCCCAACTTAAAACAAGAGGTCCATGGGCCACATCGCTCACCTGAGCACTGTGGCGAGGGAAAAAGCAAAATCAAACCAGTTTTGGAAAGCTTAAAATGCATGTGGATCCGACCTACCCCTAAAAGGCAGAAAGGGGTGGGGTGGGTTATGATTTGAATTAACTTGAATCTACACTAACTAAGGATATGCTTACATATTTTTTTTGACTTACTGTGGAATTTTTCCTTATGTTTGAACTTTCAACATAGCCCACCATACATGTACCCCCGGGGGTCATGATTTGAAGAAACTTGAATCTACACTACCTGAGGATGCTTCCATATAAATATGACCAATCGTGACTTTGTTGTTCTTGAGAAGAAGATTTTTAAAGATTTTCCCTATATATTCTTTTGTTAAACTTTGAACGTCCATTGTGGCCCCACCCTACCCCCGGGGTCATGATTTGAACAAACTTCAATGTACACTACCTGAGGATGCTCATATATAAATATGACCAATCGTGGCTTTGTTGTTCTTGAGAAGAAGAATTTTACAGATTTTCCCTATATATTCCTATGTAAAACTTTGAACGTCCATTGTGGCCCCACCCTACCCCCGGGGTCATGATTTGAACAAACTTGAATCTACACTACCTGAGGATGCTTCCATATAAAGATGACCAATCGTGGCTTTGTTGTTCTTGAGGAGAAGATTTTTTTAAAAGATTTTCCTATATATTCTTTTGTAAAACTTTGAACGTCCATTGTGGCCCCACCCTACCCCCCGGGTCATGATTTGAACAAACTTCAATGTACACTACCTGAGGATGCTCATATATAAATATGACCAGTCGTGGCTTTGTATTTCTTGAGAAGAAAATTTTTACAGATTTTCCCTATATATTCCTTTGTTAAACTTTGAACGTCCATTGTGGCTCTACCCTACCCCCGGGGGTCATGATTTGAACAAACTTGAATCTATACTACCTGAGGATGCTTCCATATAAATATGACCAATCGTGGCTTTGTTGTTCTTGAGAAGAAGATTTTTACAGATTTTCCCTACATATACCTTTGTAAAACTTTGAACGTCCATTGTGGTCCTACCCTATCCCCGGGGGGTCATGATTTGAACAAACTTGAATCTATACTACCTGAGGATGCTTCCATATAAAGATGACCAATCGTGGCTTTGTTGTTCTTGAGAAGATTTTTACAGATTTTCCCTACATATACCTTTGTAAAACTTCGAACGTCCATTGTGCTCCTACCCTACCCCCGGGGGTCATGATTTGAACAAACTTGAATCTACACTACTCTACCTGAGGATGCTTCAACATTAGTTTCATCTTTCCCGACCCAGTGGTTCTTGAGAAGATTTTTTAAACACGCCACCAAATTTTTCTTAATTATCTCCCTTGAAAGAGTGCGGGCCCTTTATTTGAACAAACCTGAATCCCCTTCACCCAAGGATGCTTTGTGGCAAGTTTGGTTGAAATTGGCAAAGCGGTTATGGAGAAGAAGTCGAAAATGTTAAAAGTTTACAGACAGACAGAGGGACAGACGGACGGACGAACGGACTTTTAATAAAATGTGATCAGAAAAGCTCACTTGAGCTTTGAGGTATCAGCTCAGGTGAAAAGAATGGCCTTCAGTTTGAAAATTGAGGATACAATGTTTGAGCAATTGGGAAGTTAAATCTTGTGTGAAGCATGACTACTTCATATATGCATTAAATAATTTTAATGCGTGAAAATTCATTTGTTGATATTTGAATAGCTTTTGTTCTATAGCAAAATAAAAATATGTGTCTTTCATAAACACAAATAAGTAGGTGAAATAAATTGAGTGAACTTATATGAAGGAGAAAACACATTGCTTTTCACCAGTTAAAGATCTGTATGAATTATACATGTATGTTACATAATACCTAACACCTAAAACAGACCCCTGTATGTTTCTTCTATCACAGAGATATCTTCTCGACGAATTCTGTTTTATCACAGGCATGCTACTGGCACCAAGAATACGCTCTGTGCTCATGGCGAAAAAGAAACAATCTGCCATAAAATTAGAAATCGCCTTTCTTCTGGTTATTTATTCTGGTGGTTAATTGGATATGACTTTTTTCGTAAGACAAGAATGAGCATGATACTGTAGCTTTCATCGACAACATTGGGATATGCTTGCATCTCCATGAACACCTTTGAATGAGGTCGATTACTTGACGGTACTTGGTGAAGTTGTAATTTTGACAGTTAATTTTCCCGCCAATAATTGTTTAACCAGACATTGCTTCAATATTCCTGTTGGTAAGTAACATAAATATCATTTGTCACTGTAAATAATTTCATTCATACTTATTTTGGAGAGTCTTATTTTATTGATTTATGTCATATTTATATATATTTTTTTTGTTTCTAGCATTTATTTACAATGTAATACCTTAAACATGAAGTTCTTCAAAACAACCTTTCCAAGGGCACGACCAATTTCATATAATTCTCAAAATCTATGTCAAATGACCCATTAAATATCTATTGTCTGATTCGACTATATCAATCAACAAAATACACAGTGATTACAAAAATGTATGAAATCAAAATATATTCTTTTTGTTCATTAAAATAATTCAAAAATGTCCAGCTGAATACAAAATGTTTTTATATAAAAATCTAAAATTGTTAAAATTGCTCAACTATTTAATAAAATTCAGAAGTCTCTGTTATCAAAACCCTTGAATTAACACACAAACCTAATCTTTATGTAGATTCCTCGTGAAATCGCATTTCAATCGATACAAGAAGTCCTCATATCTGATATATTTGTTCATTCTTCTGTTGTGCTGTGGAAATATTGCAAATATGTTTTTTTCGGTTCATTTTTATTAACCTTGTTCTCTAGGCAGTACACATTCAAAGATACTGTCAAAAGAGTTTTCTGTTAAAATGTAGCTTTTTATGATCAAATGGTTTCGAATGTGTTTATGTTAAGTATAACTTTAAATCTTTAGTCAGAGATTTTTTTGACATTTTAAAACTGTTTGAAGAGTTCCTTACTTTCATATCATTTAATGAAAACCCTTCAACAAAATTCTATTTTACCTACTGCGTTGTTGAAAATATAAGGCTGGATTTACTAAAGTGGCAAAAAAGAAACATGTCAGAGGACTAAGGCACGAGGTCCAACGGATACACGTGCCTCTGTGTTACCAATATACTGAAAGCAAATTCCAACCCGATAAATTTCAAATAGGACATACGAATAAGTAGATTATAATGTAGTTTTGTCCTCAGAAAACAAAAGCCATTAAGCAAAATTTGAACTTGAGCAGTTTTGACGCTATTGGTATCTATAAAGTGATTAACTGCAGATCTGTAATTCAGTGGTATAAAAAAAGAGGCCTATGGGCCACATCGCTCACCAGAGTAACTTTAACCATGCAGTTTTTAACCAGACCCCCCCCCCCTTGTAATACCTATTATGAACCCGCCCTTCCCCCGGGGACAATTTGGAATCTACACTAGTCCATGATGCTTCCTTAAAAGTTTCGCCTTTTCTGGCCCAGTGGTTCTTGAGAAGAAGATTTTTTAATGACCCCACCCTGTTTTTGTCTTTTCTTGATTATCTCAAGAGGACTTGACCCTTCATTTCAATTTAAACTCCCCTTCACCCAAGGATGCTTTGTACCAAGTCTGGTTAAAATTGGAACGGTGGTTCTTGAGAAGAAGTTGAAAATGTGAAAAGTTAACAGTCGAACGGACAGACAGACGGACGACGGTTGATCAGAAAAGCTCACTTGAGCTAAAAATGATACCCCTGCTTCCCATATAATCATAATGGCAAAATCCATGTTTTGCTCTGGGAGAACCGAAATAAGTGTCAGATCAAAAATTCTACTACAATTATTGCCGAGATCAAAGAAATTCCGCGGATATTATTCTCCAATAAATCACGAACGTTATCAAAAAATTATCAGATCAGAAACACGTATCAAACCTGTGCAGTTGAAATGTACATTTAACTTGAAACACTTATTTAGACCATATCGGTGTGTCGTCTTTTGCAGTCTAAACACTTATTGCAGATTTAGGTTTCTAAAGCTAAGCGTGGCTGTTTCACGGACCTCCCTACGCCATCTTTAAACTCCGTAATGTTAGTGATGAAGTGGTAAAATAGGAAACTGATTTTGTTATTGTATATTAAAAAAAAATCTATTTAAGCTACAAACAGATTTATAATTAATAAAAGGCTAATTTTAATGCAGCGATAGCGCAAATCGTCTGCATTCTATTCACAGGTAAACAAACAAATTTGCACTCTGGTGCTAAATGGAACAGCGTTATCGCAGCATGCTTCTCTATAGAGAAAAGATCAGCCGTATTTTAGAGCGTTTTAGTAGAATAGAAATAAAGTCATTGTTAACTTCAGCTAACGCCTCGGCTTTTGTCTTTCAAACAACCTTTCTCGACCTCGGAGGTTATTCTACAACATTCAGAATACTCGGAGTTTATTTCTTAAGTAAAATAGGAGGTGCACAATGGTGTTATATAAAAAAGAATATGTGAAAGTATTATTAAATTTTATTCAGTACTGTAGGAGGAGTTGCAGATAAGAGATAGGTACCCCTTCAATATTATAGATAGAATGGGCGTCTCCATGTTTTTCTCTGGGGAAAATATGCATCGTATCAAAAAGTAAATTAGGAGGTCACAATGACACTATGTAATAAAGATTCTCTGATAGTCTCCTTAATTTTCATTCATTTGTAAAAGAGGAGTTGCGGATAAGAGATGGATACCCCAAAGTGTAACAGACAGACGGACATCCAATTTACTACGTGTATATACCCTCCAACTTTTCAAACGCTAGGTATTACAAGACAGGGCTGTAACGTTCAAGTCTCGTGGTACCTGTTGTCAAATTCTGGAAGAGGAAACAGATAAGGCCTTTGTTTAAAAAAATTAAATCCAACAATATTTGTTAAAAGATTATTTTGAACAAATTAGCAGCCCACATTCTGTACACTAAGTGGCATACGCTGGGCAAAGATAAGCGCAGAACTGATGAAAGTTAATCTTCCAACGCTTTAGCAGAAAAATTAATTAGTTTTAACTATCAAGGTTAAAGTCGCATTGCGTACATTAGAAGGAAGAAAATTTTTGTACATGTATTTGATTTTGTATACTAGAATATCTTTTGCTCCAGTGTGAAAATTGTGAAAATCTTCGAAGAAAAAAAGTAATATTTGGGGGCATGGATTGTTTGAGCATAAGTGCAATACATACTCATGCAGGAATCCATTACTAATCATCTTATAACCCCCCCCCCCCCCGCTTGAAAAGTGGGAGGATATATAGTAATCGGGATCCGTCCGTCCGCTTGTTACGTTTTGGGGTATCCATCTCTTATCCGCAACTCCTCTCATACCACTGAATGAAATTTGATGAGACTTTCTCAGAATCTTTATTACATATTGCCTCTGTAGCACCTCTCATTTTACTTTTTGATCTGAAACATATTTTGGGTTTCCCATAGCAAAACATGGAAACTGTCATTATATTCATTGGGGAGGCGGGGGTATCATTTAGTGAGCTCATTGCTCACAGTACCTCTAGTTTTCAAAGTTTCAATTTAACATCTTTTCCATACCCCGATAAAAACTTTTTCTGACATCTAGAGCTCTTGAACTGACAGTTTAAGTACATTTCTTCTGCTTATAATCATTAAGACAGAAGCTGGCCCATTAGACAATAAGACAACTTTTTTGAGTACCACTTACGAAAAGAAAATCCTATGCTCTCTCTCTTTCGCTCTCTCTCTCACTCTTTGCATTTCCTAACCGGTACGTGTTATTTTATGAGAGATGAAGCATAAAAAAACTCTAGATATTAATTGACATTAATGAAAAAGGTTTTCGCCTAACTTTTTTCCAAACTTAAAATTCCAGCACAATGAAAGTTTGTTTCTTTTGGCCTTCACTTAAAATTCATAATCACAGTTAGTGAAAATGCGTGTGAAATTTTAGAATTGTACTTTTAATTAATTGATAACATTCACTTACTAGTAGTCAAGTTGTATACATGTATAAGTGCTTTAAATCTATACATGTAAAGTACTTTAAAGTTGTTTAATCTTAAAAAGCCATATTGTTGATCAGATATCTCATTCAATATTGATAACACCTTCTTGATTTTATTAAAATTCATATCTTAAGGAAGCTCTAAACACTGCACACTTAAGAGCTCTATTTGTAGGGTAGTTTTATGACATTAAAGTGATCTGCCTCTTGAAGTAAGATAGAAAAAATGGTTGATTTTTTGTGTTTTTAGGTCACCTGAGTAAACTCAGGTGACCTATTGCTATCCGTTTTCGTCCGTCGTCGTGCGTCGTGTGTTGTGTGTTGTGTGTCGTGCGTCGTGTGTTAACATTTGAACATTTTCAGCTTCTTCTCTGCAACCATTGAACCAATTTCAACCAAATTTGGCACAAAGCATCTATGGGTGAAGGGGAACAAAAATTGTGAATTTCATGATCCCTGCCCCCCTGGGGCCTGAGGGGTGGGGCCAAAACCATTCAAATTAATGCATTCTTTAAAAATCTTTTTCTTTACTCCTGGACATCAAGCAGTCAAACTGTTTGCATGATTGTAATCAGCATTGAGTCCTCTACCAAAATTGTGAAAATCATGGCCCTGGGGTCAGGGGTTCTAGTGCTAGGGCGCGGCTAAATATTAAGTATATAGTGAAAATGCATTATTTCTTTGAAAATCTTCTTCTCTGCCCCTGGGTATTAAATAAACCAACTAAGTACATAGTTATGATGAGAATGAGTGCCTCTACCAAAATTGTGAATTTTATGGCCCCAGGTTCAGGGGTTCTGGTGTTAGGGTGGGGCTCTATTGATTATATATACTTAGTGGAAAAACATGAATTCTTTGAAAATCTTCTTCTCTGCCCCTGGGTATTAAATAAACTAACTAAGTGCATAGTTATAATGAGCAAGAATGCCTCTACCAAAATTGTGAATTTTATGGCCCCAGGGTCAAGGGTTCTGGTGTTGGGGGGGGGGGGGCTCTAGTGAAAATACATGAATTCTTTGAAAATCTTCTTCTCTGCTCCTAGGTATTAAATAAACTAACTAAGTGCATAGTTATGATGAGCAAGAGTGTCTCTACCAAAATTGTGAATTTTATGGCCCCAGGGTCAAGGGTTCTGGTGTGGGGGGGGGGGCTCTATTGATTATATAGTGAAAATACATGAATTCTTTAAAAATCTTCTTCTCTGCTCCTAGGTATTAAATAAACTAACTA